GTACAATGTTACTATGGTAACATTGTACTACTTTGGACATAGTGAAATATGAAAAAAAAAATCTTAAAAAAAAAAAAAAATGTAATAAAAAAAAAAAAAAATATATTTTTTTTTCACACTGTCACCAGTCAGTGTCCCTGATCACTGCCATGCCAGTTATATGATGACGCTGTACTGCACTGGTGACAATATGTAAAAAAAAAAATAGTGAAAATAATCTTTTTAATTTTTTAATTTTCCGAAAAATTTATGACAAAAAAAATACAACTTCAAAAAACTCGTCATGCCTCTTATGAAGTACGTCGGACTGTCTACTCTGCAAAAAGGGGTCATTTGGGGGATATCTGTACCGTCCTGACATTTGGGGGATATCTGTACCGTCCTGACATTTGGGGGATATCTGTACCGTCCTGACATTTGGGGGATATCTGTACCGTCCTGACATTTGGGGGATATCTGTACCGTCCTGACATTTGGGGGATATCTGTACCGTCCTGACATTTGGGGGATATCTGTACCGTCCTGACATTTGGGGGATATCTGTACCGTCCTGACATTTGGGGGATATCTGTACCGTCCTGACATTTGGGGGATATCTGTACCGTCCTGACATTTGGGGGATATCTGTACCGTCCTGACATTTGGGGGGATATCTGTACCGTCCTGACATTTGGGGGATATCTGTACCGTCCTGACATTTGGGGGATATCTGTACCGTCCTGACATTTGGGGGATATCTGTACCGTCCTGACATTTGGGGGATATCTGTACCGTCCTGACATTTGGGGGATATCTGTACCGTCCTGACATTTGGGGGATATCTGTACCGTCCTGACATTTGGGGGATATCTGTACCGTCCTGACATTTGGGGGATATCTGTACCGTCCTGACATTTGGGGGATATCTGTACCGTCCTGACATTTGGGGGATATCTGTACCGTCCTGACATTTGGGGGATATCTGTACCGTCCTGACATTTGGGGGATATCTGTACCGTCCTGACATTTGGGGGATATCTGTACCGTCCTGACATTTGGGGGATATCTGTACCGTCCTGACATTTGGGGGATATCTGTACCGTCCTGACATTTGGGGGATATCTGTACCGTCCTGACATTTGGGGGATATCTGTACCGTCCTGACATTTGGGGGATATCTGTACCGTCCTGACATTTGGGGGATATCTGTACCGTCCTGACATTTGGGGGATATCTGTACCGTCCTGACATTTGGGGGATATCTGTACCGTCCTGACATTTGGGGGATATCTGTACCGTCCTGACATTTGGGGGATATCTGTACCGTCCTGACATTTGGGGGATATCTGTACCGTCCTGACATTTGGGGGATATCTGTACCGTCCTGACATTTGGGGGATATCTGTACCGTCCTGACATTTGGGGGATATCTGTACCGTCCTGACATTTGGGGGATATCTGTACCGTCCTGACATTTGGGGGATATCTGTACCGTCCTGACATTTGGGGGATATCTGTACCGTCCTGACATTTGGGGGATATCTGTACCGTCCTGACATTTGGGGGATATCTGTACCGTCCTGACATTTGGGGGATATCTGTACCGTCCTGACATTTGGGGGATATCTGTACCGTCCTGACATTTGGGGGATATCTGTACCGTCCTGACATTTGGGGGATATCTGTACCGTCCTGACATTTGGGGGATATCTGTACCGTTCTGACATTTGGGGGATATCTGTACCGTCCTGACATTTGGGGGATATCTGTACCGTTCTGACATTTGGGGGATATCTGTACTGTTCTGACATTTGGGGGATATCTGTACTGTCCTGACATTTGGGGGATATCTGTACTGTCCTGACATTTTGGGGGGATATCTGTACTGTCCTGACATTTGGGGGATATCTGTACTGTCCTGACATTTGGGGGATATCTGTACTGTCCTGACATTTGGGCGATATCTGTACTGTCCTGACATTTGGGCGATATCTGTACTGTTCTGACATTCTTGGACCTCAAGAAATTAGATTGGCCATCAGTACTTCAGGATTGATCAATATTCAGATCTATCCCATAGTTTGTGAACTCTATAACTTTCCTACAAACTAAAAAATACATCCTAATTTGGGTTATTTTCACCAAAGACATGTAGTAGAATACATCTCGGCCTAAATTTATGAAGAACAATTATATATTTGCAAACTTTTATAACAGAAACAAACAAAAACGTGGGTTTTTTTTCAAATTTTTCAGGTTTTTTTGTTAATTTAGCAAAAAATAAAAACCCCGGCGATGATTAAATACCACCAAAAGAAAGCTCTAGTTGTGTGAAGAAAATGATAACATTTTAGTTTGGGTACAAGGTTGTATGACCGCGCAATTGTCATTCAAAGTGTGAGAGCGCTGAAACCTGAAAACTGGCCTGGGCAGGAAGGTGTAAAAGTGCCCGGTATTGAATTGGTTCAACATCATTACAAGTGATTTTAGACATCAGGGATACAGATAGAAAATGATTAGACAACTTCTTAGCAGCTTACAACCTAGGACTCATCAGCCACAGGTCCCCATTAACACCCCCGCTGACACTGGGTGCGACTTGCCAATCGTATGGCTAGTTGGAGCCTATCGTCCGCAATGAGAGCGGCCAAACCAGTGCGAATCCAACTTGGTCGGAGCCGCGCCGATTTCTGCACTACTTCAGGGGAGACTTCATACACGTCTAGGCAGATGTCTTTCAAGTTGCAACTGAAGTCGAAGTGACATCCGACTTTGAAATTGTGCAAATTCACTGGAAGTCAGATCGGTGGGGGGGGGGGGGCGGTAAGTATTAGGACTAGAGCATAGTCAAAGAGGAGGAACCTGCCATTAGCGGCCGCGGATGTCAATCACCGGATCCTGGCTGGTGATTACCGACAATCACCGGTGGGGAGGAGGACTGTTTTGGTTACAAAAAACAGTCTTCCTCCCTGACAGCTCGGGCACACTGCTCGGGATGGCTGTGCACATCACAGCACAGCCATCCCGATCAGTGTACTTACAGTAAACCTCACCCCCTAGTAAAACACTCCCTACACACAGTTAACCCTTTGATCGCCCCTCATGTTAACCCCTTCCTGCCCAGTGCCATTAGTACAGTGTCAGTGCTTTTTATTATTAAGTGTTCTTGCATGGCGACCCCTTCCTGTTATCTCACATATATATTCCTATTATTATAGCCAAATTTACCACCCTAACTCCTCCCACGTTTTACACTACATAGACAGTAATATACCGAAACGTGCGGATTGTTCCCGATTGGTGTGCTAATACTTTGTGGAACGTTTCGCCGAATGGTTCACGAAATATCGCCATTTTTGTGGTGAAATTGGTCCCATAGGAATGAATGACGGAATGTTCAAAACTAGAGTGTGAGCTGACAAAAGCTAGAGTGTGAGCTGAAAAATCAGAACATGATTTCTAAACTGCCATCACTCCCTCATTTTCAAGGCCACCTACACAAATCTTATATCATAACATTCAGCTATCCCTGCTGCCACTAAAAATGTCCACGGCTAAGCCATAGTCCTGATAGTTTTCACAAAATTACCATTTGTTTGTAACTCACGCCGCCCATTGACATTTATTGAAACTCCACTCTAGCCACCTCAAATTTGAAGGGCAATTTCTAAACTGCGACTGTGCCTTCATTTTTAATATTTCAGAGACACACTAGGCATCAAAATGTAGGTCTGGGTCTTGTGATTCTCACAATATAAAGCTCTTCGGTATAGGATTTATCATTTTTAAACTACAACCGTTTGAAGATGGCAACCGCCAGTGAAGTGAGCAAGTTGGAGCAGTTTGTTTTTTAACCGCTCTTCTCTGCCCTTGCTGTAGAGTGAGTTGCCATAGGAACCTAGGTGTGCGAGCAGGCAGCAGAGTGACAAGCCACTCCACCCAGTTACTCCGCCCACTCCAGTTGTAGACTACTGGTGGAAGCAAGAACACTTCACACAATTTCCCCAGAAATTGTAGCTTTTCTAGTTATTATTATACAGGATTTATATAGCGCCAACAGTTTGCTGAGCACTTTACAATATAACGGGAGACAGTATAGCTACCATACAGTTCAATACAAAAGGGATAGGAGGGCCCTGATCCTGGGAGCTTACAATCTAAGAGGGAGGGGCTTTATTAGCACTGATCACTGTATTGGTGTCACTGGAGATGTCAGTGACACCACGTTAGTTCCCCCCCTCCAGTGTCAGAATGCATGCCGTAGTCCCGCTAAAAGTCGCTGCCATTACTCATAGGGAAAAAAAAAAATCCCAGAATCTTTCCCGCCATTTGTAAATGCTATAACTTTCACGTAAACCAATTAATTTACACGTATTAGGATTTTTTTTTTTTTTTAAGCAAAGACATGTCGCACAATACATTTTGGCCTAAATTTATAACGAAATTTGATTTTTTTAAATTTTTTTACTAGACATGTTTAATAGCAAAAAGTCCAAAATATTGTTTTTTTTTCTCGAGCGCAAAAAATATTAAAAAAAACAGGTGATCAAATACCACCGAAAGAAAGCTCTATTCCTGGGGGAAAAAAAAAAAGGATGTAAACTTAATTTGGGTGCAGTGTTGCATGACTGCGCAGTTGTCATTTTTTCATTTTGTTTTTGTTTTTTTTTTTTTAATTGCTTTACTGGATATGTTTTATAGCAAAAAGTCAAATATTTATTTTCAGTCTTTTTGTTTTGTTTATAGCGCAAAAAATTAAAACAGCACAGGTGATGAAATACCACCAAAAGAAAGCTCTATTTGTGGGGTGGGGAGGGGAGGAAATGGCATAAATTTTGTTTATGTACAGTGTTGCATGACTGGCAGTTAAAGTAACGCAGCGCCGTATCACAAATTGGCCTGGTCAGGAGAGGGGGTGGGGGGTGGAAATCTTCAGGAGGGCAAGTGGTTAATACTGACATATGGATGATACATTTAGATGCATGACAAACATAAATGTAGAGGCCGATGGGCAAACTTACGTCATTAGACTGGGCATTGGACTGGCGTCTGATCTGGTGCATTGCAGTTTTGCTGAGGGGCCTCTTGATGCCTTCGGGTTTAGCTGGTGCCGGATTATAACCGTACATTCGATTGCTCTCTCCAGCCCTGTGAGATAAAGCAGATGAAACAATAAAGAGTATTGACATCAGCCACATATATTCATGTCATCCTTTTATTACGAAGAACCGAAAAAACAAACAAAAAAGGACCCTCCCCCCCCAAAAAAAAAAAAAATCCCCCCAAAAAAATCCTCAAAAAAGAAAAACAAAATCCCCCAAAAAACAAAAAAACCCGCCAAAAACCAAACAAAAAAATCCCCAAAAACCAAACAAAAAAATCCCCACAACCCAAAAAATCCCCCCAAAAAAAACAAAAAAAATTCCTCAAAAACCAATCCTCAAAAAACAAATAACCCCCCCCCCCCCCCAAAAAAAAAATCCCCAAACAAAAAAAAAATCCCCAAACAAAAAAATCCCCCCAAAAACATAAAAAAATCCCCAAAAAACATAAAAAAAAAACCCCAAACACACACAAAAAATCCCCAAAACAATCCCCAAAAAAACAAAATAAATCCCCAAAAAACAAACCAGATAAACCCACAAAAAAAATCCCCAAAAACAATCCCCCCCAAAAAATGCCCAAACAACAAAAAAAATCCCCAAACAAAAAATTCCCCAAAAAAAACACAAAAAACAAAAACAATCCCCAAAAAAACAAAAAAAAATTCCCAAAGCACCAAAAAAAATCCCCCCCACCCAAAAAATCAACCCCCAAAAAAATCAACCCCCCCCCAAAAAACAGATGGTTGCCCATGGTACCTAGATGCTCCTTTGCAATCTCTAATTACTACTGGAAAATGAAAGAATGTGATTGGCTGACACAGGTAACTCACCTTCATACAGGGGCTCTGCCCCACAGACTAGTATATATATATATATAGACTTACCCTGGAGGTTTGCCGTCTTCAGTCTCCTGTGGCAGAGAGAAGAGAGGTCAGAGAAGAGAGGTCAGAGAAGAGAGGTCAGAGAAGAGAGGTCAGAGAAGAGAGGTCAGAGAAGAGAGGTCAGAGAAAAGCCTTCCCAGCACACAGCAGCTGATCAGAAGGATCACATTGGATGAACCAACAAATCCCGTACATCTTGGATATACATGTGTATTGCCCCATGTGCTGTCTGTTTAGCCACTTGCCCTCCTGAGGATCCCCCCTCCATCCCTTCCAGGTCATTTTTTGCGATACGGCGCTGCGTTACTTTAACTGACAATTGCGCGGTCATGCAACGCTGCAACCAAAATTAAATTTCCGTCCTTTTTCCCCCCCCCCCACAAACAGAGCTTTCTTTTGGTGGTATTTGATCGCCTCTGCTCTTTTTTTGTGTGCTATTAACAGAAAATTTTGAGGAAAAAAAAACAATATTTTGGACTTTTTGCTATTTGTGGCCTCGGCTGTCAATCACCGGGTCCTGGCCAGTGATTGCTCGCTGGTAACTGGTGATCGCCGAGTATTACCAATGGGGGGAGAGAACTCTATGTAAACAATACAGATCACTCTCCTGTCAGCTTATGCACACTGCTTTGTATGGCTCTGCATAGCCAAGCCATACAATGCAGTGTGCTTACAGGGAAACACAGACACAGCACATAATGTGAAACAGCACACAGTTAACCCTTTGATCGCCCCACGTTAACCCCTTCCTGCCCAGTGCCATTAGTACAATGTCAGTGCTTTTTATTATTATTATTATACAGGATTTATATAGCGCCAACAGTTTGCTCAGCGCTTTACATTGTAGTGGGAGACAATACAGCAACAATACAGTTCAATACAAGAGGGATAGGAGGGCCTGATCCTGGGAGCTTACAATCTAAGAGGGAGGGGCTTTATTAGCACTGATCACTGTATTGGTGTCACTGGGGATGTCAGTGACACCAAGTCAGTTTCCCCCCAGTGTCAGAATGCCTGCCGCAGTCCCGCTATAAGTCGCTGATCGCCGCCATTACGAGTAAAAAAAAAAAACACTATATATACACCGCCATTTTTGAACGCTTTAACTTTCACGTAAACCAATTAATTTACATGTATCAGGATTTTTTTTTTTTTTTTTTTTTTTTAGCAAAGACCCATATGGAGCAGAATACATTTTTGCCTAAATGTATGACGAAATTAGTTTTTTTTACTGAACATGTTTAATAGCAAAAAGTCAAAAATAGTTTTTTTCAAAATTGTATTTTTTTTATAGCGCAAAAAAAAAAAAAAACGCACAGGCGATGAAATACTGCCGAAAGCTCTATTCGAGGCCAAAAAAGGACGGACATTTAATTTGGGTGCAGTGTTGCATGACCGCGCAATTGTCAAAGTAACGCAACGCCGTAACGCAAAAAATGGCCTGGTCAGGAAGGGGGGGGGGGAATCCTCAGGAGGGTGAGGGGTTAATCATTGCATTTTGTAAAGTACACACACGGCACGGCAGGTTTTTGCGTTCTGTGCGGTAATTGCGCATCGGAGTTGGCTGCCCTTCTCATACACAGTGAAGGAAATGCGTATTTGATCCCCGGCTGATTTTGAATGCCCCTCACAAAGAAATGATCAGTCTAAAAATCGAATGTTCGGTGTATTGTAACACTGAGAGACAGAATAGCAACAAAAAATTCAGCAGAAATGCATGTCTAACAAATGATGACTGATCTGCATGTTCATGAGGGAAATAAGTATTTGATCCCCAATCATTCAGCAGGATTTCTGGCTACCAGGTGTCTTTCATACAGGTATCAAGCTGAGATTAGAAGCAGTCTCTTAAAGGGAGTGCTGCTAATCTCATTTTGTTACCTGTATAACAGACACCTGTCCACAGGAGCAATCAAACTGTACCCCAGTTAAGGATTTTAAGACCAATTTGCCCCTTTGAAGGAGACTGGCCATTCATTACCATTATAAAGCCATACCTTCTATCAGGACACAATTATGCTCCAGCCAAGTGACATTAGGTAGTTTAACCACTTCCCATCCGGCCCATGTACATAAACGGCCTGACGGTGGCACTGCAGGGTCGGGTGGCCGTTTTATAAACGTCCTCCCCGCTCCATGTTTGTGCGCGTTCCCTGAAAGCGTGCAGCACCGCGATCCGGTGCCTGCTGTGTCCTCTGGACAAAGTGGAAACACCGATCGTCGAACGATCTCTGTGCGAGGTCCCGATCATGTGATCACTGATTGGCCAATCAGTGATCACATGAAGAGTAGTAAGCAAGATGTCACTTCTGACATCATTGCTTACTACGTGTGAGATCTGTGAATGATCACAGAGGTCACATGGTACAAGGCTATTCACAACAGCCTTGTACCATGTGACAAGCTGTGACCAATCACAGCTCACACAGTAGCTCTCAATGGCTGCAAGAAGCTAGAGAGAAGCAGCTAGAGAGAAGGAGAAATTATTGCTTTTACAGCCTTTATGGGTGTAAAAGCAATCAGTGTAAAAAAAAAAAAAAATCTTCATCACCCCCCACAGTACAGTGACACTGTACTGCTAGGGTGACAATATGTAAAAAACAAAATATAAAAAAATTCAATAAAAATGTAAAAAATGTTTTATATTATATATTTATAATTTGTATATTTATTTATATTTTATAATTTTTGGTTATAAACTAATTTGGGTTATTTTATTTTTTTTTACTAAAAAGATAATGGGATAAATTTTGGCCAAGATTTATGAAGAAAAATTTGCAAAAGAAAAACACTTTTTTTTCCAACATTTTTGGACTTTTTCATTTATATAGCAAAAACAAAATCAAAATCCCAGTGGTGAATAAATACCACCAAAATAAAGCTTTATCGGTCTCAAAAAGTCTCAAAAAAATGCTAAAAAATTAAAATTGGTACAGTGTTGCATGACCGTGCAATTGTCATTCAAAGTGTGATAGCGCTGAGAGCTGAAAATTGTCCTGGACAGGAAGGGGGTGGAAGTGTCCGGACTGGAAGTGGTTAAGATCAGTCTGCTGCAGGAGGACATTTACTTAGTCTCCTTTCCTCCAGTGATGAGATTGTAACCTGTGTCCTTATGACAAGTCACAAGTAGTGACAACAGCCAAGAACTGCAAACAACAGATCGACCATAAAGATGAAGATCTCCTGCGCACACCCGGCTGGTGTACACCCAACTGGAGGACCAAGACATACTTAATCTGAATCAACATCCCAGCCCGGGAAGCAGATCCTGACCTGATGCCTGAACAAAGATGGCGTTGTTGTTTTGAAAGGCAGATAAAGACTTTGTCAGGCATTGGGGGGAAGCGGCGGGGGTCCGTGATCTCTTCAAGAAATCTGATGCTAGGTTCACTTTATTTAACCACTTCAATACCGGGCACTTATACCCCCCTTCCCTGCCCAGGCCAATTTTCAGCGCTGTCACACTTTGAATGACAATTGCGCGGTCATGCAACACTGTACCAATATGAAATTATGGGGGAAGAGGGGTGGGGGTCCGTGATCTCTTCAAGAAATCTGATGCTAGGTTCACTTTATTTAACCACTTCAATACCGGGCACTTATACCCCCCTTCCCTGCCCAGGCCAATTTTCAGCGCTGTCACACTTTGAATGACAATTGCGCAGTCATGCAACACTGTACCAATATGAAATTATGGGGGAAGGGGGGTGGGGGTCCGTGATCTCTTCAAGAAATCTGATGCTAGGTTCACTTCATTTAACCACATCAATACCGGGCACTTATACCCCCCTTCCCTGCCCAATTTTCAGCTCTGTCGCACTTTGAATGACAATTGCGCGGTCATGCAACACTGTAGCCATATGAAATTATGGGGGAAGGGGGGCGGGGGTCCGTGATCTCTTCAAGAAATCTGATGCTAGGTTCACTTTATTTAACCACTTCAATACCGGGCACTTATACCCCCCTTCCCTGCCCAATTTTCAGCTCTGTAGCACTTTGAATGACAATTGCGCGGTCATGCAACACTGTACCCATATGAAATTGTTATTTTTTTTTCACACAAATAGAGTTTTCTTTTGGTGGTATTTAATCACCACTGAGTTTATTTTTTGCTAAATAAAACTAAAAACACCTGAAACTTTTGAAAACAAAAAAAACCCCAAAAAAAAAAAAAACGCACTTTTCTTCGTTTCTGTTATAAAATTTTGCAAATAAATAACATTTCATGAATTTAGGTCAACATGTATTCTGCTACATTTCTTTGGTAAAAATAAGAATTGAATTTGTATTTTTTTTTTTCAAATGTTTCTATTTTTTTTTTTTTATTACATTTTTTCTTTTTACTATTTTATTTTTCAGCACACTGGGACCAAAGCAATACAATGTTACCATAGTAACATGGAACTACTCTGGGCGAGTGATCAGGATTTTTTTTTTCTTTTTCTAACACATTATGATTGCTAATACCAATTCATATTTGCAATCGTTGTTACTGAATGAAATGGATTCATTCAGTCTTTTGCTGTGATTAGGCAAAGCTGACCACATGATACAGATGGGCTGTGATTGGCCCTTTCTGTATCATGTGACTGCCTTGACTAGTCACAGCTAACAACATAATTGTATACAATGGAGGGCATGACAGGAAGGCATCCATTGTGTACAATTGACAGGTCATCTGCTGTGATTGGTCACAGCGGTCACATGACACTGGCAATGGGGCCGGTGTGGTGATATGTCATCGGCTGTGTCCCTTGGGACAGATCGCGCCGCCGTGCGGCCCAGTGGCCGCATGAGTGGCTCATTTTGACAGGATGTCATAGGACACCCAGTCATAATGGCGAGTGTCCCACCCAGCCGTCAATCTGCTATAGGCCGGGCGGGAAGGTGTTAATAGTATACATCCCTTCAGATCTTCAGAAAGAGGCCAGCAAGCGAGGGATGCAGAGGTTCTGCTCAAGGACAGAGGGCTCCACAGTGAACTGATTAGCACGGCAAAGAACCTCTTTACCAGTTTGTTACGTTAATGGCTAATCCACGTTGGATCTTGGTTGAAGCAAAGCAACCACCCATCACTGTCAAAGCCTGGAATGCCGGCAACTATGTGGAAGATGGCTACTCCCTTCAAAACCCAACCATCATTTGTATAACACCATTACCTGTAGACCACGCTCACCTTGGTAGGTTCCTCCTTCTTCACATGCTTCTCCAATTCTGCCGCATCTCCCATTTTGAGAGACGACCGGCTATCAGAGTCCAAAAAGGAGTCCGCCATGGTGTTGGAGCTCAACCAAGAAGCCACCTTGTTCTTGGAGGTCTCCTCGGGCAGTTTGCAGTCTGTATTCTCCTCTTGGCTGGTCTGTCTGGCCAAAGCAGAGTCCTTAGAGGCGGTATCTACAGCCCCGTTCTCTTTCTGTCCCCTAGTTGTCCCGCCGCGTAGCATAGCTCCGCCATACAGAGCTGGTTGTGATGTCCTCGTTCTTTCCAAAATTGTCGTCCGAACTGTCTTGAGACTCGTCCTGGTCATCGGTGCCGGTGTTTTCTTCGTGGTCCTCCTTGAGGTCAACTCCGCTGCTATCAGAAGATGACTTGACATCGCTTTCGTAACCATCCTTATAGTTTTCTACACTCTCGATGTGGTCCAAATTTGCAAAGTATTCATCTCCCATCTCTAAGCCTTCTTTGTCTGCAAAGTCATCGGTCAGGATTTTACCTGTGAGGAAGCACAAAACGAGAATGGTTCATCCATGTGCTAAAGTGGATCATTTGGGAGGAGGAAGAGGAAGAAAGGAGGGGGGGGGGGGGGAGGAGGAAGAGGAAGAAGGAGGGGGGGGGGGGGGGAGGAAGAGGAAGAAGGAAGGAGGGGGGGGGGGGGAGGAGGAAGAGGAAGAAGGAGGGGGGGGGGGGGAGGAGGAAGAGGGGGAGGAGGAAGAGGAGGAAGAGGAAGAATGAGGGGGGGGGAGGAGAAGGAGGAGGAGAGGAGGAGGAAGAGGAGGAGGAGGAGGAAGAGGAGGAGGAGGAGGAAGAAGAGGAAGAGGAAGAGGAAGAAGAAGAGGAAGAGGAAGAGGAAGAAGAAGAGGAAGAGGAAGAAGAAGTGGAAGAAGAGGAAGGGGAAGAAGAAGAGGAAGAGGAAGGGGAAGAAGAAGAGGAAGAAGAAGAGGAAGAAGAAGAGGAAGAAGAAGAGGAAGAAGAAGAGGAAGAAGAAGAGGAAGAAGAAACTACAACACTCCACTTTCTTTCCTAACAGAACAATGCAGCTGCCTGGACTCCCAAAAGTCTGCCCATACATTGTGTAGGGAAAGAGATCTTGGGAGGTGTATCTCCGGGGGCATACCCAACATCGATAGGACCTTACCTTTCATCAGCTACCCCCGGCACTTTTTTTAAAGTTTCTAGTTTGAGGTCAGGTCCACTTTACCAATCTTACTGGAAACAACCACCCTGGTATCTGGTGATGATGTGTCTGCTGCAGGGGCGGACTTACCATTTGGAAACTCCCGGGTCAGTAGGGGGCCCCATGAGATGCCCCTGGTACCTTTTTCATAGGCTTTTTTGAGTTTGCGCATGGACGCAGGGGCCCCATGATCCCCTATTGCCCAGGGGCCCCATGAGTTGTCAGTCCGCCCCTGGTCTGCTGTCTGTACTAGGCCCTCTAAAACACTGGTCCTATCCTCTACAGAACAGGTGACCAAAGAGGGAAGATTTTGGTCAAGGGACCTGCATAGGAGAATTTCCATAGTACAATTATGCATTTCGGGTCAGTACGCTTTTTCTCCCCCATACAAGATATTTTTTTTTTTTACTTTTCACTATCGATCTGCTTTAAAATTCTACAATCCAGGATCAATCTCAAGGTAACCCCTAAGTCAAGTAAGCGCACCTGCATATATACAGACAAAGGATCCTTTTGCAATGTCATCCAGACACCGGATGCCCCACCCTTTGTTCTGCGTTTTGAAGAGCTGCAGACGCACTTGGAGGCCATGCTGCACCAGGCGGTTCGTACAGATACCTGGATTGCATTTACATCTCTTGTTGCATTCATACACCCTGTGATAAAAAAAAAAAGAAAAACTTTGAGACGGGTGCGAGACATGCGGACAGTAAAGTGTATGTAAGGGCAAAATAAATAAAAAGAAAACAGAGGCGGCACATCTATGAATTACAAGCACATTTCCCCACGTTTCATCTGTTTCAACCACTTGAGCTCCAGAAGATGTTACACCCGCTTCCTGACCAGGCCATTTTTCTGCTATTCAGCACTGTGCTACTTTAACTGGCAATTGCGTGGTCATGCAACACCGTACATAAATAAAATGTATCTTTTTTTTCACACAAATAGACCTTGTACGTAAATAAAATTAATCTTTTTTTTTTTCCATACAAATAGAGCTCGTACGTAAATAAAATGTATCTTTTTTTTCCACACAAATAGAGCTCGTACGTAAATAAAATGTATCTTTTTTTTTCACACAAATAGAGCTCGTCCATACATAAAATGCATCCTTTTTTTTCACACAAATAAGAGCTCGTCCATAAATAAAATGTATTTTTTTTTTCACACAAATAGAGCTCGTCCATACATAAAATGCATCCTTTTTTTTTCACACAAATAAGAGCTCGTATGTAAATAAAATTTATCCTTTCTTTTCACACAAATAGAGCTCGTACGTAAATAAAATGTATCTTTTTTTTTTCACACAAATAGAGCTCATACATACATAAAATGCATCCTTTTTTTTTCACACAAATAGAGCTCGTATGTAAATAAAATGTATCTTTTTTTTCCACACAAATAGAGCTCGTACGTAAATAAAATTTATCCTTTCTTTTCACACAAATAGAGCTCGTACGTAAACAAAATTTCTTTTTTTTCACAAGAGCTTGTACGCAAATAAAATGTATCTTTTTTTTTTCCACACAAATAGAGCTCGTACATAAAATGTATCTTTTTTTCACACAAATAGAGCTCGTCCGTAAATAAAATGTATCTCTTTTTTTCACACAAATAGAGCTCGTCCGTAAATAAAATGTATCTTTTTTTCACACAAATAGAGCTCGTCCGTAAATAAAATGTATCTTTTTTTACCACACAAATAGAGCTTTCTTTTGCTAGCATTTGATAACCACTGGGTTTTTTTGTTTTGTTATTATACAAATGAAAGAAAAAAAAAAAAAAAAAAAAAAAAAAAAAAAAAAAAAAAACAGTATTTAACGTTTTGCTATAAAACATTCAATTAAAAAAATCCCAACAAATATTTCTTCATAAAATATGCAACACGTCTATGCAAAACAAGCACATTTCCTGTTGTTTCACCTTTTTAACCACTTGAGCTCAGGAAGATGTTACCCCCATCCTAACATGGCCTTTTTTTTTTGCTATTCAGTACTGCGCTACTTTAACTGGCACTACTTCAATAAGAACCCACATCTTTCTTCTACAATGTAAAGCATTGAATCATAAAAAGCATTGATCTAGTGCTTTAAAAAAAAAAAAAAAAGCCTTGTTTACAACGCGCCGGTACTGGAAGTGACATCATTCCAGTACTCCAAGGGCATAGAGATGAGTGGAGGCCATCTTTCCTACACTTATCTCTATGCCCAGCGCCGGGATTGTTCGGTGGTTTCTCAGGTAAGGCTGAGAACTACCGAGCGGCAGCGGCAAGGGGGTGGGGTAATTTTCAGCACCTGTATCGGTGCTTATTTTCATATCGGCCAACGGTCCATAGGGGTGTTTTCGGCCGAAACATTTTGACCAACCGAAATTTTGGTGCATCCCTAATGGGTTCCTCTGTGTTAAAAAGGTTGAGAAAGGCTGCTCTATGGCATTACAGAGAGTGGCCTCAAAGAGGGAAAACCAAATTCCTTGAGGAGCTGTGAAAGAAAATTTTGGAAACATCAGTAGATCCAACTACAAAAAGCCAAAGCAAAATCCCGTCATAGTATTACAGTTCCGGGTGTGTCCGGTGCACCTAGTCACAGCCATCTGCCCTTACCCTGTAGGGAGGCACTCTTCGAGACGCTTGTGTTGGTATCCAGCTTGCATGTTGACCTGAGCCCCAGGAGTGCAGCGAGTAGCATCTAACGTCAGTTGGTGACAAGCACATTTGGTCCTGAAATAAAGAATCACGTTTATATAAAAGATGGACTCCGAAGAGAAGTAACTATTCCAACAACTGCATTACCAATACTTCAATGGCAGAGGAAAGGATGCTTTCAAGTTGCTTGTTGACCGAACTTCCACCACCAACCAAACTCACCGGCGTTACCACCAGCCCACCAAAGACCCTAAACATTTATTGTAACTAGTACCTACAACGGCAGAATCCTGGAACTTCACTTTTTCCAGACTGAATGATATTTATTGAATACCACCTCCCCCTCACTCCCCCTCTCTGTTGGGGTCCCTCAAGGCTCCATCCTCGGGCTCCTTCTTTTCTCCATCTACACCTCCTCCCTTGGCCAACTCATACACTCTCATGGCTTCAACTACCACCTCTATGCCGACGACACACAAATCTATCTCTCAACCCCTCACCTCACCCCCTCGGTCTCTCCGCCCGAATCACACACCTACTGAGCGACATATCAGACTGGATGTCGCTCCACTTCCTTAAATTGAGCCTCTCCAAAACAGAGTTTCTTGTCTTCCCCCCAGCCCGGACACCACCCCCTATTGACTTCTCCATCACATCCAACAACGCCACCATCAAACCCGCCCCGCAGGCCAGAGTACTTGGTGTCATTCTGGACTCCAACCTATCCTTCCAGCCCCAAGTCCAATCTTTAACAAACTCGTGCAGACTCCACCTCCGCAACATCTCCAAAATCCACCCGTTCCTAACCCCAGAAACCACTAAACAGCTCATCCACACTCCCTCATCATATCACGACTCGACTACTGCAACTCCCTCCTCACTGGCCTGCCTCGCCGCTGGCTATCCCCACTTCAGTCCATCCTGAATACGGCAGCCAGACTCCTTCACCTTTCCAACCGTTCCATCTCCGCCACCCCCCTCTGCCAATCCCACCACTGGCTTCCGATTGCGGAACGGATCAAATTCAAAATCCTAACACTGACGTACAAAGCTGTCCACCATAACTGCCCCGAACTACATCACCGACCTAATATCCAAGTACCCCCCCGCCCAGCACGCACACTCCGCTCCTCACAAGACCTCCTTCTCTCTAGTTCCCTGGTCTCCTGCTCCCATGCCCGCCTCCAGGACTTCTCCAGGGTGTCACCCATCCTCTGGAACTCCCTGCCCCAACCCATCAGATTATCACCTACTCTCCTCTCCTTTAGGCGCACCCTGAAAACCCATCTCTTCAGGGAAGCCTACCCCACCCCCTGCTAACTTGCCGACCTCCTCCACTCTTCCTACCACTCCATCCCCCACAGCTATCTCCTCCTGTGCCACCATCCCCTCCCTCTTAGATTGTAAGCTCGAAAGAGCAGGGCCCTCGATCCCCTCATGTTTTGCATTGTATTGGTATTGTTCTGTCACATGTTCTGTCCCCCTTTGTAATGTACAGCGCTGAGCGAACTATTGGCGCTTTATAAATACTGTATTATAATAATAATAATAATACAGAGCATTAGTAGAAGTGGACCTTTGATGGAGGGACCCTTCCATCTTGGATCCAATGCTCATGGTTCCTGCTGGCTTTCTATAAACCTTTTGATGCCATCGCCGGGTAAATGTAAAGATTTGTTTGCCATAGACGTTATTCTCCTTTAGTATGCTTATTTTTGGCCTTGTATATATCATTTTAGAATCATACGTTATATCTCCGTGAGGAAGCGGACTATTGTCCTGCGAAACGCGTCGAAGAAAGGATTCAAAGATAATTTCAGAGCAATTGTGTCAACTATGGTTCTTATATTATCCAAGGACATGCCTTGTAATGTCTGCCTGTTTATTACAAGCTACACGTTTTAAGATGAGCGATGTGATTGCTCAAAATCATTACCGCAACTGTGGTTTTAACTTTGTTCAACATTTGGAACAAATACACTTTGATTAAAAAAAAAAAAACAATATATACCCTAATTTTTTTTGTAAAATATGAAAGAGGATGTTATGGCGAGTAAATAGATACCCAACATGTCACGTTTTAAAATTGTGCACGCTCCCGACCCTCTTCCTTTGCTTTCCTCTCTTCCTTCAATATCTTTACATCTGGTGTCTCCCTTCCCCCTCCCCTTTTTTTTTTCCTCTTTCTTCTCTGTCTGGGTGTATTCTCTTGGTTTTATGGAATTATCTCATTGTTGAATATCGCCTGTCTGTATCTATGTTTGGATTCATCTTCCTTCATCCCCATGGATCATACTGATACCTATGTTGTTGTTTTTGCCAATTCCATTGTCGATGTTCTTATTATTTTCTTGCTATGTATTGTTTAATTTGATACAAAATCTAATAAAGACAAATTTGCCTTTAAAAATTGTGCACGCTCGTGGAATGGCATGAAATGCGTGAAACTGCAGTACTTAAAAATCTCCATGGGCGATGCTTTGTAACATTTCACTGCTAACATGTAGACATTTTTAGAGGAGGTCTAGTGCGAGGATTATTGCTCTTGCTCCGACGTTCGTGGCGATACCTCACATGTGTGGTTTAAAACACCATTTACATATGTGGGGCGTGGCTTACGTATACGTTCCCCACTACATGCGAGCACGGGGGCACTTTAAACATTTTTTTTTTTTAATTTAATTATTTTTTTTTGGGACTGTTCCTTTAAAAAAATTTTAATCACTTATTCTTATCACAAGAAATGCATGCATCCCCTGTGATAGAAACAATTAGCGACAGGTCCTCTTTATGGAGATATGGGGTCAATAAGACCACACATCTCTCCTCTGCAATGTAAAGCATTAGATAGATAAAAAAAAAAAAAGCATTGATCTGGTGCTTTAAAGAAAAAAAAAAAATGGCCGGAACGGGGAAGTGACATCGCTCCAGTCCTCCAAGGGCAGAGAGATGGGTGGAGGCCATCTTTCTTTCACTCATCTCTATGCCCAGCCCCGGGATCACTCGATGGTTTCTCAGGTAAGGCTGAACTAGCGAGCAGCAGCGGCCGGGCGGCGTGGTTTTTTCAGCACCTGTATCAGTACTTTTTTTTTTTTCATTTCGGCCGAAAGGGGTGTTTTCGGCCAAAACATTTCAGCCACCGAAATTTCGGTGCATCCCTACTTGTACTAAATTCTTTGAAAAAAAACCCTAGAAATTTCTCAAACGAAGTTAAAAGATTCTTTCCTGCCTACTCTCCTTTGTAAAGGTAAACTGCAATTTATCAGATCCTCTTAAACACACAAATCTCCGTATCTAACCTGTCTCGGCATCCATCCGTGCAGTCGCATCCCACCAGAAAGTCCTTGCCCGTGTTAATAAATACTCCTCTGCCGGGAATGCGCTCCTTACTATACGCCACCTGTGGAGGAGGGGTCCGATCTATCTCATTGACGCAGGACAGGGGCACATCCTCCTTGCCGTAGGTGATGTCTGGGATATAGTAGAAAGGTTTCTGTGGCTGGAACTTGCGGTCCACCAGCACGTATGGGTCCAAGCAGAACATTTCCAAGAACACCATGTCGCAATTTGTCTCTAAAACATAGCGCTCCATCTCAGGCATGGTGCGCAGGCTGAGGCCGCATGGCGTTTTGTAGATGACGTGGAATCCCAGCTTGCGGTTCACCCGCCTCCGTGCGGTCATACGGCGGAAGTCGTACAGCAGTGGCACCAGCAGAGGGTTCTTGCCCCGATGATTTACCACGCGGATGCGGGACAAGCATGAATAGCTACAGATGTGAGGTAGGTAGAACAGCTTCTCCATGGGGGCCTTGTAAATGATCTCTGTCGGCAAGGCGTTTGTCTGGACAACTTGAAAGGGCGCCACGTTTGTCACAAATCTATATAAAAATGAATAAAGAGAGGAACAATGAGACATGAACATCCAATGGCGCCAACAATGAGAGCAATGAGACAAGAACACCCAATGAGACAAGAACACCCAATGAGACAAGAACACCCAATGGCCCCAACAATGAGAGCAATGAGAAAAGAACACCCAATGAGACATGAACATCCAATGGCGCCAACAATGAGAGCAATGAGACAAGAACACCCAATGAGACAAGAACACCCAATGAGACAAGAACACCCAATGAGACAAGAACACCCAATGAGACAAGAACACCCAATGGCCCCAACAATGAGAGCAATGAGAAAAGAACACCCAATGAGACAAGAACACCCAATGGCCCCAACAATGAGAGCAATGAGACAAGAACCCCCAACGAGACAAGAACCCCCAACGAGACAAAAACCCCCAACGAGACAAAAACCCCCAACGAGACAAAAACCCCCAACGAGACAAAAAACCCCCAACGAGACAAAAACCCCCAACGAGACAAAAACCCCCAACGAGACAAAAACCCCCAACGAGACAAAAACCCCCAACGAGACAAAAACCCCCAACGAGACAAAAAAACCCCCAACGAGACAAAAACCCCCAACGAGACAAAAACCCCCAACGAGACAAAAACCCCCAACGAGACAAAAAACCCCAACGAGACAAAAAACCCCAACGAGACAAAAAACCCCAACGAGACAAAAACACCCAATGGCCCCAACAATGAGAGCAATGAGACAAGAACATCCAATGAGACAAGAACATCCAATGAGACAAGAACATCCAATGAGACAAGAACATCCAATGAGACAAGAACATCCAATGAGACAAGAACATCCAATGGCCCCAACAATAACAGCAATGAGACAAGAACACCCAATGAGACAAGAACACCCAATGACCCCAACAATAACAGCAATGAGACAAGAACACCCAATGAGACAAGAACACCCAATGAGACAAGAACACCCAATGAGACAAGAACACCCAATGAGACAAGAACACCCAATGGCCCCTGCTGCTGTTTCTGAGGCAATGAGAAGGAAGAGCGCCAGGACAGCGGCTGCTGCTCTTGTGCACAGCACTGGATCGAGATTGGGCTCAGGTAAGTATTGGGGGGAGTGCGGAGGGAGCTGCATAGTCAGTAAGGAGCTAGCCAGTAAGGAGGGAGCGAGGGGGGATGTAGGCATGAGCCCCATTCTGTGTATCCTATAAACACAAAGAGCAGGGCTCAGGGGCAAGCACGCACAAGTGCCCTCATAACAAGCGGCTTGCTGTGGGGGCACTTGGTAGGGGGGAGAAGCACAGAGCGCTGGCGGGAACCTGAGAAGAGGAGGATTGGGGTTGCTCTGTGCAAAACCCTAGCACAGAGCAGGCAAGTATAACATGTTTGTTATTAGAAAAAAAAATTAAGCCTTTAGTATAATTTTAAGGTAACATTAAAGCTTAGTTGTTTTTTTCAAAAATTAAAACAAACATGCTGTACTTACCTGCTGTGTAATGGTTTTTCACAGCAGCTCCGATCCTCTTCTGGAGTCCCCTGCCGATGCTCCTGGCCCCTTCCTCTTCGGCAGATGACCCCATGGAAAGCAGCCTTCCATGGGGGCACCCATGCCGGCTTGCTCCCGAGCCACCCTGTAGGCGTCCATTGACACAGAGTGCGTGGCTCAGCCTCCTCCTCCCAGGACAGCATTTTTCTGACAGTAGTGGGAGCCAATGGTTCCTGCTGCTATCAGTCTGCCCAGGGAGGAAGGAGACAGCGGCTAGCGCCGCTGCTCTTGTGCACATCGCTGGATCGGATTGGGCTCAGGTATGAATAATAAGGGGGGCTGGGGAGGGGGGGAGACTGTTCAGCACAAAAGGTTTTTCACCTTAATGCAAAGAATACATTAAAATGGAGCTCCACCCAAAAGGAGAAGTTCCACTTTAAGCACTTGTCCCCTGCTCCCCGTTTGGCACCTTTGGGAAGTGGGAACCCAGATCTGACAGGTACCTGCTCCCACTTCCGCTACGATCGATTGCAGAAGTTGTCCTCTCCCCCATTCCTCCCTCCCTGTAGTCTTCTGGGACACGCGACACCATTCACAAAGCGCAGCGCTGCTCGCGCATGCGCAGTGGGCACCCGGCTGTGAAGCCACAAGCTGTCACAGCCAGGTGCCCACACTGAGGATGCCGGTGCCAGGGAGAGAAGACAGCCGGTGAAACCAGCTGTGGTGAGGACTCCGCTGGACTGAGGGACAGGTAAGTGTCTGTATTTTAAAGGTCAGCAGCTACAATTTTTGTAGTTGCTGACTTATCTTTTTTTAAATTAACTAGAACTCCGCTTTAATGTGAAAAACAATAATACTATAGAACCACTTTAAAGCAGAACTCCAGACAGATATAAAGGTCAGAAAGTGATGCAGATCTATAATAAATACATCCAAAAGTAAGTTTAACATTACCAGCCATGTAAGTGCCAGAATTTGTATTGGTGTCAGCCTCTTGCAGTCCCAGCACAGCAACAGTATCACCCAGAAGTGAGTCCACCCCTCACATTTGTGTAAATATTTGATTCTCTCTTTTCATGTGACAACACTGAAGAAATGACACTTTGCTACAATGTGACGTAGTCAGTGTACAGCTCGTATAACATGTAAATTTGCTGTCCCCTCAAAATAACTCAACACACAGCCATTAATGTCTAAACTGCTGGCAACAAAAGTGAGTCCACCCCTAAGTGACAAGGTCCAAATTGGGCCCAAAGTGTCAATATTTTGTGTGGCCACCATTATTTTCCAGCACTGCCTTAACCCTCTTGGGCATGGAGTTCATCAGAGCTTTACAGGTTGCCACTGGAGTCCTCTTCCACTCCTCCATGACGTCATCACGGAGCTGGTGAATGTTAGAGACCTTGCGCTCCTCCATCTTCCGTTTGAGGATGCCCCACAGATGCTCAATAGGGTTTAGGTCTGGAGACATGCCTGGCCAGTCCATCACCTTTACCCTCAGCTTCTTTATCAAGGCAGTGGTCGCCTTGGAGGTGTGTTTGGAGTAGTTATGTTGGAATACTGCCCTGAGGCCCAGTCTCCGAAGGGAGGGGATCATGCTCTGCTTCAGTATGTCACAGTACATGTTGGCCTTCATGGTTCCCTCAATGAACTGTAGCCCCCCCAGTGCCGGCAGCACTCATGCAGCCCCAGACCATGACACTCCCACCACCATGCTTGACTGTAGGCAAGACACACTTGTCTTTGTACTCCTCACCTGGTTGCCGCCACACACGCTTGACACCATCTGAACCAAATCAGTTGACCTTGGTGTCATCAGACTAGGGGACATGGTTCCAGTAATGTCCTTAGTCTGCTTGTCTTCAGCAAATTGTTTGCAGGCTTTCTTGTGCATCATCTTTAGAAGAGGCTTCCTTCTGGGACGACAGCCATGCAGACCAATTTGATGCAGTGTGTGGTCTGAGCACTGACAGGCTGACACCCCCCCCCCCCCCCACCCCTTCAACCTCTGCTGCAATGCTGGCAGCACTCATACGTCTATTTCCCAAAGACAGCCTCTGGATATGACGCTGAGCACATGCACTCAACTTCTTTGGTTGACCATGGCGAGGTCTGTTCTGAGTGGAACCTGTCCTGTTAAACCGCTGTATGGTCTTGACCACCGTGCTGCAGATCAGTTTCAGGGTCTTGGCAATCTTCTTATAGCCTAAGCCATCTTTATGTAGAGCAACAATTCTTTTTTTCAGATCCTCAGTTCTTTGCCATGAGGTGCCATGTTGAACTTCCAGTGACCAGTATGAGAGAGTGAGAGTGATAACACCAAATGTAACACACCTGCTCCCCATTCACACCTGAGACCTTGTAACACTAACGAGTCACATGACACTGGGGAGGGAAAATGGCTAATTGACCCCAATTTGGACATTGTCACTAGGGGTGGACTCACTTTTGTTGCCAGCAGTTTAGACATTAACCACTTGCCTACCAGGCACTTATACCCCCTTCCTTACCAGGCCAATTTTCAGCTTTCAGCGCTGCCGCACTTTGATTGACAATTGCGCGGTCATGCAACATTGTACCCAAATGAAATTTTGATCATTTTTTTCTCACAAATAGAGCTTTCTTTTGGTGGTATTTAATCGCCACTGGGCGCTTTACTTTTTGCGCTATAAATTAAAAATGTGCAAAAAATTTGAAAAAAAAAAAAAAAAAGTTTGTTTCTTTTATAAAATTTTTCAAACAGGTATTTTTTCTCCTTCACTGATTTGCGTTGATGAGGCGGCACTGATGGGCACTGATAGGCGGCACTGATGGGCACTGATAGGCAGCACTAAAAAGCACTGATAGGCAGTACTAATGAGGTGGCACGGATAGGCGGCACTGATAGACAGCACTAATTAGGGGTCACGGATAGGCGGCACTGATATGCAGCACTGATAGGCGGCACTGATAGGTGACACTGATGATGGGTACTGATAGACGGCACTGACTGGCATCACTTCTGGGCACTGACTGGCGGCACTGACTGGCACAACCCCTGGGCACTGACTGGTGGCACTGACTGGCAGCACTGCTGGGCGGCACTGGTGGGCGGCACAGGTGGGTGGCACTGGTGGGCACATGTAGGTGGCACTTCTGGGCACAGGCAGAGTGGCACAGGTGGGGGCACTGCTGGGCACAGGTGGGCGGGGCTAGTGGGCGCACTGCTGGGCGGAACTTGCGGGTGTCACTGCTGGGCACCGATCATCAGGGCACTGATCATCAGTGCCCTGATGATTGGTGCCGATCCCCGCTCTGACAACTGCCGGTTCTCGGCAGTACTTTCCTCACGATCTGACAGCGTGAGGAAAGTGCAGCCGAGAACCGGCACTTGCATTTCCCTGTGATCAGCGTGTCATTGGACACCGCTGATCACGTGGTAAAAGGCCGGTGGGATCGGCCTTTCACCACATCACGTGATCAGCTGTGTCCGTAGGACACAGCGATCACGGAGATCGCCGGGTGCGCGCCCCCTGGAGAGCGCGTTCTGGGAGGACGTCATATGACGTCCACTCAGAACTGGCCGGCCGCGGTGAAGCCGTCATTCGGCTATGCGCGGTCGGCAAGAGGTTAATGGCCGTGTGTTGAGTTATTTTTGAGGGGACAGCAGATTTACACCGTGCTACAATGTAACATAGTGAGTGTACAGTTTGTATAAAAGTGTCATTTCGGCAGTGTTGTCAAATGAAAAGATAAAATCAAATATTTACAAAAATGTGAGGGGTGTACTGGGAGATACTGTAAGTCCAGGGGGAGGGAGAAGCAGCACGAGGAGCCAACTAGTTTAGATGCAGTGCAAGGAACATGCTGATATATGAGGAGAGAACAGAGTGACAGTGGGAAGAGCTCATCAGTCTGCTGCTACTCCTTATACTATCCCACCCACTAGAGGAGAGACCAGACCTGTATATGTTGCTGAACTGCAACAGAGAATGATCAGCCCACCTTCCCCATCCCATCCCATCCCATGCCAGGCCGGGCTGTACTGTGTGGAAGAACTAAGTCTCAAAAATGGAGATAGTGGAATAGTTTTACCTGCAGGCCATTTGGGTCCCCCCAGAAACATGGCTAACAGACTCCTGCTTAGCAACCCCAACGTCCTGGCTCATTGCTAGTAAGTGAAAACAGTTGGATGCTCATTGCCAGCATTCCCAACGGTTTTCATGTCCTAGCAACCACAGGATGTGGGGTTCCCAACTAGGAGTTTATTAGCCAGGCTTCTGAAGGGACCCAAAGAGCCTACAGGTAAAAATATAAACAATGACCATTTTACAAAGCAGCACAGAATTGCTTATAATTTCTAGGGACCACTGACTACACAAAACTATTTTCTGGAATAGGTGAACTCATGCAGGCCATAGATGGGTGGAGAAAAAAAAAAAAAACGGCCAATTTTCACAACGTTAATGGGTTGGCCATTTTTCTGGATTTTGGCACATTTTTTTAATCCGTAAAGTTGGGGGGGGAATTGGCCGATTTTCGCAATAATGGGCAAATCGGGGAAGAAGAAGAAGGAGGAGGGGGGGAGGACGGGGGGGGGGGGGGGGGGGGTGTTGGGAGGAGAGGAGGACGAGGAGGAGGACGAGGACGAGAAGGACGAGGAGGACGGGGCCAAGGACGAGAAGGACGAGGAGGACGGGGCCAAGGACGAGAAGGACGAGGAGGACGGGGCCAAGGACGAGAAGGACGAGGAGGACGGGGCCAAGGACGAGAAGGACGAGGAGGACGGGGCCAAGGACGAGAAGGACGAGGAGGACGGGGCCAAGGACGAGAAGGACGAGGAGGACGGGGCCAAGGACGAGAAGGACGAGGAGGACGGGGCCAAGGACGAGAAGGACGAGAAGGACGAGGAGGACGGGGCCAAGGACGAGAAGGACGAGGAGGACGGGGCCAAGGACGAGGAGGACGGGGCCAAGGACGAGGAGGACAAGGACGAGGACAAGGACGAGGAGGAGGACAAGGACGAGGAGGACAAGGACGAGGACGAGGACAAGGAGGAGGAGGACGAGGACAAGGAGGAGGAGGACGAGGACAAGGAGGAGGACGAGGACAAGGAGGAGGACGAGGACAAGGAGGAGGACGAGGACAAGGAGGAGGACAAGGAGGAGGACGAGGACAAGGAGGAGGACGAGGACAAGGAGGAGGAGGACGAGGACAAGGAGGAGGACGAGGACGAGGACGAGGACGAGGAGGAGGACGAGGAGGACGAGGAGGACAAGGACGAGGAGGACAAGGACGAGGAGGAGGACAAGGACGAGGAGGAGGACAAGGACGAGGAGGAGGACAAGGACGAGGAGGAGGACGAGGAGGAGGACAAGGACGAGGAGGAGGACGAGGAGGAGGACAAGGACGAGGAGGAGGACGAGGAGGAGGACAAGGACGAGGAGGAGGACGAGGAGGAGGACGAGGAGGAGGACGAGGAGGGACGAGGAGGAGGACGAGGAGGAGGACGAGGAGGAGGACGAGGAGGAGGACGAGGAGGAGGACGAGGAGGAGGACAAGGAGGAGGAGGAGGAGGAGGACAAGGAGGAGGAGGAGGAGGACAAGGAGGAGGACGAGGAGGAGGACAAGGACGAGGAGGACGAGGAGGACGAGGACAAGGACGAGGAGGACGAGGAGGAGGACAAGGACGAGGAGGACGAGGACAAGGACGAGAGGAGACGAGGACGAGGAGGAGGACAAGGACGAGGAGGACGAGGAGGAGGACGAGGAGGAGGACAAGGACGAGGAGGAGGACAAGGACGAGGAGGACGAGGAGGAGGACAAGGACGAGGAGGACGAGGAGGAGGACAAGGACGAGGAGGACGAGGAGGAGGAGGATGAGGAGGAGGATGAGGAGGAGGACGAGGACGACGACGAGGAGGACAAGGACGAGGAGGACGAGGAGGACAAGGACGAGGAGGACAAGGACGAGGAGGACGAGGAGGACAAGGACGAGGAGGACGAGGAGGACAAGGACGAGGAGGACGAGGAGGACAAGGACGAGGAGGACGAGGAGGACAAGGACGAGGAGGACGAGGAGGACAAGGACGAGGAGGAGGACAAGGACGAGGAGGGCGAGGAGGAGGACAAGGATGAGGAGGACAAGGATGAGGAGGACAAGGACGAGGAGGACGACGAGGAGGACAAGGACGAGGAGGACGACGAGGAGGACGACGAGGAGGACGACGAGGAGGACGACGACGAGGAGGACGACGAGGAGGACGACGAGGAGGACGACGAGGAGGAGGACAAGGACGAGGAGGACGAGGAGGAGGACAAGGACGAGGAGGACGACAAGGACGAGGAGGACGACAAGGACGAGGAGGACGACAAGGACGAGGAGGACGACAAGGACGAGGAGGAGGACGAGGAGGAGGACAAGGACGAGGAGGACGAGGAGGAGGACGAGGAGGACGACGACGAGGAGGACGAGGAGGAGGATGAGGAGGAGGACGAGGAGGACGACGAGGACGACGAGCGGCACAGTGGTTAGTGGTTAGCACATCTGCCTTGCAGTAAATGGGTCATGGGTTCGATTCCCGACCATGGCGCCTCCTGCATGGAGTTTGCATGTTCTCCCTGTGATTGCGTGGGTTTCCTCTGGGTACTCCGGTTTCCTCCCACACTCCAAAGACATGTGGCTCTGTAGCAAAACTACTGCTACAGGGCTGCTAAAGTTCATGTGTATATATACGTGATTTTGCATTTCCGAATAGGGGGTGCACACGCGCGGCCCTACCTGCTCTGGCGGCTACAGCCATCTATTACCAGGTCCTATCCGGAGATTCCCAACCGGCACCCGGTGATCGCCAAGGAACAATGACAGGGGAGAGGTCTGTATGTAAAAAAACACAGATCTCTCTACAACCTGGTGTGGGACTTTTGTTTTTGTTCTGGACTCAATTTATATCACTTTTAGGTTTTTGCATGTTTCTATCACAGTTGGAATATTGTTCACCGAATATTTATGTTTAGTGCCATACCTTACTTTATTAGAAGATGTCTCCCGTCAGCACCGACATGCTGCTTTGTATTGCTCGGAATAGAAGAGCAATACAAAGCAGTATGTTTCCCTAGTAAAACAGCACACAGTTAACCCTTTCATC